GTAAACGTTATGAGATTTCTTTTGTGATTCTGTACTTGGCAACTGCATTGCACGGTTTTCCAGCATGAACTTGACGATGTCGTGTCGCAATATCAAAAGATTGGACACGCCTGATCAGATTGGCATCTTTTCACTCACCCTAGCAAGGACTTTTCGCTGTGGATCTTTCGTTCCATCTCACGCCCAAACTCTGAGGCCTCGACTCCCACATCCAGCCCAGAGAAGATGGTAGCTCTGGTTTAAGGTATCTGGATATCCAGCAGGAGCCTCCAAGACATGTTACCATTGTGTTGTTTGTTAGACACAGGATTTTGTAGAATTGAGAAAAAAACATGCCCTCGAATTGTGTTCTTTCCTTTCAAAGCTATGTTGTTTACTGTTTTTAAGTTTTGAAAGTGAACAGAAATTTGGTTTTTCGTAACTTTCTTTTAAAAAGCATTTCTGTATGTTTTATTCAGATGCTTGAAGGATGGCCTCAGATCTAGAACAGTTATGCTCTTATGTTAATGAGAAGATTGACAATATTAAGAAAATTCTGTCGATAAGAAATCTTGGTAAGCAACATTGACTCACTGCTTTCGGGTACATACAGTGCGTTTTGATTATTCTGCGGTGAATGTTTCTTTAGTAAGGTAATTTTAGATTTCCAATAGTGAATTTTCAAAACACTCCAGTATCACTGTTCCAAATAATGCAGAGGCGACGTTAAGTAATGGGTGAATATTTACTTTATTTACTTTTTCTTAGACATTAGGCCAATATTAAGGTTTGAAGGAGATCCATGGTTCTAGAGCTAATTGGATCTAATACCCCAAAAGAGTTGAGGGAAAAAACAAAACCAATCAACCAAATTAAAAACTTCAAATGAAAAGATCTACTAAGGGTGAATTAGCCTATAACCAGTTATCATCCTGTTTAGAGGAAGCTTATCCCTGTGTATCAGGGTAAAACAGATAGTTGAAAATGAAATTATTGTTAAGGCATAAAAGTCAAAGAAACAGATGATCCTTGTCAAGTCTAAGATGTTTTAAAAATGGAGTTTCCTGGCTTTGCCCAGGAGAGTTCAAAACTTTCTTAGTAGATAGAATTCTGACTTCTGGAAAGATTGTGGAGATTTTGCTGTAGTTTGTGATGTGGATTGGTAGTTTGAGGTTTTAATTTTCTTCAACATATGAGATTCTGTTGAATATCCCTTCTAGAAATTTGATATTTTCAGTCCTTATTCGAGAACTCCTATTAAAGGAACTGGTTTATTTTGTGGCTCATGGTTCACACTCTATAGAAAGTTATTTGTGGACTCAACATGGCAAGCCTCTCATTTTATTCTAAGGGAAACCAAGACTCCAAAGAGGGTTACCCAAATCATCCTGCGTTTCTAAACACTCAGGTGGGATGATGGCTCTCAGTCTCAATTCCTACATAGCAAGCCTCTCCACCCATATGCCACATTTACTGGGGAAAAAAAAAAAAATCCGGGTCCTGTGATCCTAAGGCTTGGGAGGCAGAGGCAGGCACAGATTCAAGACCAGCTTGGTCTACTTAATTAGTTCCAGGACAGCCAGGACTGTAGGAAAACGTTGCTTAAAACAAAACAAAAAGGAAGCAAGGAATTTGATTTTGGGTTTTCAAGACACGGTTTCTCTGTATTGTTTTGGAGGCTGTCCTGGAACTTTGTAGAACAGGCTGGCCTCGAACTCATTGAGATCTGCCTGCTTCTGCCTCCCAAGTGCTGGGAATAAAGGTGTGTGCCACCAATGCCTGGCGGAATTTGAGTTTTAATGGTTAGCTTTCTGTAGGTTCTCTTTATGAGGGCTTGACTATAGTTGGATAAACATAATTTGGGGGTCTATAAAGTTGGATTCAAACAACCCCACCAAAATCTGGCTGGAGTAGTGAGAGCTACTAGACTGATGTCATTTTGTAGTTGAGAAAAATACTTTGTTTCCACAGTCTGTTTAATAAAGTCTAATAGCTTCTCTCACTGTGGCTGCTATAACTTATCAGATACCTAACATCAAGTATGAATTTGCTAAGTTGATTGTATTACTATAGATCAGCAAAGTCTAGATGACTAAATTTTTTTTTTTCAGATAGCAGTTTTCAGGAAAGTTACCATATCCAGCTGATTAACTCACCATTCTGAAATTCTTAGTACACACATCAGTACCCTTTTAATTTATATCAGAGTCAGGTGGCTCCAGCACTGGGGGGCAGCAGAGGCAGGCAGATCTCTGAGCTCAAGACCAGCCTGGTCCTGTTGATTCCAGGACTACACAGTGAGGCCCTGTCTCAAAAAGCAAAAACAAAACCGCTGAAATTAACTTGGCTCATTTTAGTTGTTATGAATCAAGTGTTTGGTAGTGTCGGCATTGCAAAGCTAGAGTAACACACTGATCCTCACAGAGATGTAGTAGTTGACATTTAGTGCTTTGCTAATTCCCAGATGCAATGTTAAGTCTTTCCTGTCCTTTCATGTAGTAATCTTTGCAGCCATCCCCTGTGACAGCATTGCTATCTCGAACTTCAGGCCAGGAGCTTCCTGCTATTCCCATTTGCTTATCCACAATCTATAGATATGGCCAAAATGTTCTTCACTTATTTGTATTTCATTGTTTGGTTGCTTGAAGCACACACGAAAGTTCTTTTTGTGAGATAGGGTCTCTCTATGTAGTCCAGGCTGGCCTCGAATTCACAGAGATTCTTCTGCCTCTGCCTCTTGAGTGCTGGGATTAAAGGAGTGCCGAGTCACACCTGGCTGGCATTAAAACTTTGAAAGTTACTCTCAAAACAACATTTTGTCTTATTTACTTGGTGTGTGCATTTGCAGGAGTTGCTTTTCTGCTTCCACTGTGATCAAAACTAGTTGTTAGTTAGTTTGACAGTGGATTTCTTTACCTGCTGAGCCATCTTGCTTTTTCTAAATCACTTCTATGTGAAGGGAAGAAGAACTTCAGGTTTTCCAATCCCTTTCAAATCTGAGTCTAGAGAGGTGCTGGGTGGTACAAGAAGTCTAAACACCCTGTTTATAAAAGCATCTTATCTTTGTTTCTTCCAGGTACCTAATCTGTATTTTCATTGTTTCTGTCTGTGATTGAAGGTTTTGAGTAGTGGAGATGGTGTAAATATGCATTCCAAACTTATGAATTCCCAGAGAGCTGCCCCTGTCTTCAGTCTCCTCCTCTATAGAAACACACTTAAAGGGCAGTCTAAACATGAGTTTATCTCCCTGGCACTTTAGGTTTTTCAGGTTACACTTTAATAATATGTCCTCCGAAGCAAGGTAACAAACAGCCTTACTTGAGATTTTTCATTTCTATCATCCTGTGGTTTGAAGCCTCAAAGTCATTGGCTCTTGTCTGCAGTAAAGTCAAGGGGAGGCGGTCACTGAGACCAGAAACCTCTCTCTAACATTCCTCTATATGTACTGACAGGGATCATTGCCGCCTCTTATCATGCACCATACTTGGTGTCTGTGAATCCCACTTCATGCCATCCCAGGAAGAATGACCTCTTCCTCATGAATGCTGTATACAGGTGTTTATTATTTCTAGGTGTTTTGTTATATTAAAAGGATTTGCCAGAAATAAAAGCAACAGGAAACACTTTGTACTTTCCTCTCTCCTCCTTACTGCTTTGAAATGAAAGTTAGGCCAGGCTGGGTGGCACACACCTGTAAGCCCTGCACTGAAGAAGCTGAGGCAGGAGGATTTCAGTTTGAGGTCAGTCCGGGCTACTGCATAGCAAGAAGCTGTCATATAACAACAAAACAAGAACTTGTCCTTTCCGACCCAAATGTTTTTTAAGGCATAGCTGTCGATTCCAAGTTTACATGGGACTTGAATGTTTTGGTTTTTATATACTTTGTTTTCCATTTTCTCTTTCTTTATAACAGGCCAAGCACCTGCCTTGAAGACCACCTTAAGTAAAATAGAAAATGAGATCATTACAGTAAATGAACTTCTAAATCATTTTGAGTTGGAAATTCAGTATCAAGAACAAACCAACAAGTCACTTAAGGTAATGCTTCCCCAACTGGAAAACAGAAGGCAGTCCTAATCACCAGGTCGTTTTTAAGGATCCTTTGTTGCAGTGTTCTTGGGTTTGTAAATTAGTCTAGAGAGTAACATTTGTGTTCTCAGTGTAAAGAAGTTCTGAATGCCAACTGTTTCTGTATGTTAATTGCCAATAGCATAGAACTCTTACTAGAAGGAAAGTTTCTAAAAAATTTTTGTAGGTAGGTTTAAGGTAAGCAAATGATGCCCTGAGAGAGTGCTGAGTGGAGGACACCTGCCTTGAGTGAGGTGTAGGTCTTTACCTTGGTCCTGCTCGGTACTCTCTGCCACACTGAGAAAACCACTTCACCTCTTGAGGCCTCAGATCCTCATTTAAAGGATAACAGAAGACTGGGAAGACTGTTTCTTAGCTACTTTCTGTCTGTTCATTCATTTCTATCAAAGATGAGGACAACTCATTCAAGAAAAGCTCGAACTTCACTCGTACACATTTTTTTTTGTTCTAAATAAGACTCCTAATTAAATTCAGCTAATAAGAGACAGTGTACTTTCATAATGAGCACTGAGGAACGTGTGCTAATTCAATAAGAGCAATTTGCTAGATTATCTCATCTGTTTCTTAGTTGCTTCCCAAGGTTAAAGTGTTTGGGAAAGGCTTAAACTTCAACCCGATCTCACGATTGTCCTATAGTACTTGTTCTCTAAAAAAAGAAAAAAAAAATCCAATAGAGAAAAATATCATCTAGAAACTCTAGAAGTTACAGGTCTCCCCTGCCCCTCCCTTTATTTTCCTGTGTTGGGGATCAAACCCAGGGCTTTGTACTTGGTAGGCAAGTGCACTGAGCTACACTCCAGCCCTTAAGTCCTTTGTTATTACTTTGTTGTTCATTGACATTGCTGCACTTGGTGCTTTCCCACTGCATTCCATGTTCTCAGCACTTACAAGGCCTGTGAAGTGTGGCTTGCAGTCTGATCTGGCTATTTCACACGTCACCCATGTAGAGGAGGAAGCCTTGCTCACAAGCATTTTTGAAACTTAGGAGCTCTGTGAATCTCTTGAAGATGATTTGAAAGATGTGGAGCATCTCAAAGAACACATTCCATCCTATTTGCCGCAAGTGACAGTGACCCAGAGCTTGTAAGTACATTCCTGATTCTTGCTGTCTGGAGTTTGTGGAAACAAATACCTTTGGTCGTTATCTGTCATGTACTTGAATTTTTGTCAGAGTTCATTTAGTTTCTTGTCTCTTGCAATAGAAACAATACTTCTCTCTGTCTCCTCCAGTCTCCTCATTCTGCATCTCTGAGGAAAATGGCCCCTTTCCCCAGGCAAGGCTCTCCTGTGCATGCCTCCCCCCCCCCCCCCCCAACCCAAACCTTACCCCCCACCACCCAAAAC